CCCTGAGCAGTGGCCGCTAGGACTACGATCAATCACTGGATTTGCCACAGCCCAAGTTGCCCTCAAGGAAGGACCAAGAGGCACACTTTGTGACGCACATCCCGTATGCTGCATGGTCTCCAACTGATAAGGTGGCAGAGCGCTCAGATCAGTTCGGGATTTGCTTAGTGATGACTTCATCTGAGACGAAGGCAATACATACAGTACCTATATACTGCAAGTCTCAAAACCATCACAGAGGAGGTGATCCGCTTCTCTCTCGAGAACAGTGGCCGAGACCCGTGTATCTTTCAGGGTGACTCAGAGCGCTTGATGAGTCAAATATTGAGGATATTGAGGTCCGTGCAACAGGTCCGGCCAGTGATGGGTGTGCAATGCGAGATTCGATTGACAGGCAGCGGACAACACGCCTCAAATGGTCAGGTTGAGAGGGCAGTGCAAACGATGAGGAAACTAGCCAACTGCCTCAGATCATATGCAGAGGGAAAGGCCTTCATCAAGATCATGGGCAACCTGCACATGTACCCCTGGTCATTCAGGTGCGCATCGTTCCTGATCAACAGGTTTCGAGTCCTGGAGAAGATCGGCGAGACCAGCTACGAATTGGCTACCGGACATGTGTACCGAGGAAAGCTGGCATTGTATGGAGAGACAGTGATGTTCAAGAGGATGACAAAGTACAAAGCCAGCGACACATTCGAGAGGGGCATCTGGGTTGGAAAACATAGTTGGAATGATACCCACATCATCCTGACACCGGAGGGGGCGTTTGAAGCGAGGACGATCAGGAGGTTGGCAGTGGAGGAATGCTTCAGAGGAACAGGCATCATCATCGCCAAAGGACTACCATGGGCATACCCTCCACAAGGGATCATGATGAAGCACGGTGGTTCAGCTCAGAGGTACAGGCAACCCACGTTGGAAAATGAAGCTACAGAGGAAGAGATGAAAATGACTACAGAAGCAGTAGCTGCTGGAGTGGTGACCCCTGCATCTGGGCTGAAGCCGCAACCCACTACACCAGGCCTTCCTGCAGTGACAGCCCCTATGACGCCAGCCATTGGTCGAGAAACTCCCAGGAAGAGGAGTGCAGAAGAAGGTGAGGGAGAACCCGAAGCAAAGAGGCATGATGATGAGGACCCCCCCGACGACTACATGAGAAGAGGGAGACATCGCATGAGGAGGCACAAGACGGAGAGAAGAAGCAAAGAAAAAAGGAGATTGAGATTGAGGAGATGGAAGAAACACCTGCAGTCAGCTCAACAAGGCAAAGGGAAGGAGAAGAAGGAGACCGGCCTGTGACCTCATCGGCCAGCAAGATTCCCAGGCTTTATCCACCGCAATACGCAGGAATCCAGGCCATTGAGGCACATGGGGACGAGGAGATGAACGATGAACTGATCCCCGAAGAGTTGTCTGAGGAGTTCTTTGCAGGACATGGAGGGAATGAAGATGATGAACCTCCAATCACAACAGAAGCTCACCTAGAACGACTTGATCATGAAGCAAGGCTGAATGAGGTGAGCAGGATGATCAAGATCCCAGCCATGGTGGAATGTGAGCCAGGTGAGGTTGAGAGAGTTCGTCCTCACCTGGAAGCACAGGCTTGAACAAGGAAGGTGGTTTCGAAGAGCGAGACTGGTAGCCAGGCAGTTCAAAAGCAGTATCAACATTGAACAAACGTTCGCGCCGACGTCCATGCTAGTGGTGCCAAAGATGTTGATTCACTTACTGCTGAACGTGACCCTCGACATAAAGGACGCCTTCCTCATGGCTGACCAACCCAAGGAAGAGAAAGCCTATGTGGATGTGGACGGAGTGATCTACAGATTGGTGAAATGCCCCCCCGGGTTAAAGGACAGCAGCATCCCAATGGTTCCAGCTTTTCGCAAAGACAGCAAAGGAATTTGGGCTTGAGCAAGATGTCATGCAGCCCACCTTGCTCATGAAACCAAAGGAGATTTACATCACGGTTCACGTCGACGATGTCTTCATGGTTGGGAAGGAAAAGAATTTGAGGGCATTTGTAAACCATCTCAAGGAGAAGATGAAGTGGAGCATCGAGGAGAAAGGCCCATTCCGAAGTGGAGAAACCTTCCATTACCTGAAGCGAGAATTCGTGATGTACAATGAATGGTGTGACACCAGGTGCGATTACAAACAGTATGAGAGTCTGGCGAAGGATATGGACATCTACAAGAAGGCCTACAGAAAGACACCTACAAGCCAAGAGTTCAGCAAAAAGGATGAAAGTGAGGAGCTGCAGGGCGAAGACATCACACGATACAGTAGTGTGGTTGGAAGATGATGTATCTGGCAGGTGAAAGGCCAGACGTCCAATTTGCCATCCAAAGTTTGGCAAAGTTCATGTCAAAGCCGACAAAGCAAGCATGGAAGAACGCTTGGCATGTGTGCTCCTACCTCCAAAGAACACAAGGCTTTGGAGTGAGGCTGTCGTCGAGAGCCAAGGGACAGACAGTGATGGATGTCAGAGATGCAGAGGAAGCAGAAGACAAGGAGAAACATCTGCTTGAGGTGATGTGCGATAGCGACTATGTTGGAAACAGAAATGATCGCAAGAGCGCATTTTCATTTCAGATTCTGCTGGACGGGCACCTGATGGAATCAAGGGTGCGATCTCAGAAGTCGATTTCATTGTCTTCAGGAGAGGCCGAATTCATCTCCATGGTTGGAGGGTGCTCTGACGGGCTATTGGTCCGGCACCTGTGGACGAAGATGGTTGATGAACCATGTGAAATGAAGGTCAGATCAGACAGTTCGGCAGCACGCTCTATGGTTCAAAGGCAAGGAATCGGCAGGGTCAGACATATGGATGCCGCCCTACTATGGATCCAGCAAAAGGAGAAGGACAAGATTCTTGCAGTGAGCCCAATACCGACAGAACTGAACACCGCGGACATCGGCACCAAAGGTCTGACAAGAAGCCGACTATTTGGTTTGCTCTTCATGCTCAAGATGATCGACGGTGCTGGAGATCGAGTTGGGCACGATGAATACAAAGAACTTGAGCACCGTGAGAGAATGAGGAAAGGTACACAAAAGGTGCTCAAGAACAAGAACCTCCACGTTGGCCTGATCTGGCTACTCTCAAACTTGGAGAGTGTGGCTGGCATGAAGGTAGAAGAGGCCAATGACGAAGAGGGGGAAAATTGGAAATGGATTTGGCTGATCTGTGCAGCCATTGGGGCCTTGATGATCAGAGTGGTTACGACACTACCTGTTCATGAAGGTGATGCAGATGGCATGGACCTACGTCGAGGACACCTTCAAGAAGATGAACAGGGAGATGGTGAAGTACATGAATGGGAAGGAAGAAGTGAAAGAGAAGGCAACTTAGTCTGACAGATGGATGATCTGCAAGCTGAGAACGATGACTTGCAGAACAAGGTCTTTCAACTCGACCTGTACATTGAAGAGCTGGAGCAGACGATCCGGCAGACAAGAGAGCAACGAGACATGGCCCTTGGAGAATGCCAACTGGCATTGAAACACGGTGAGAAGCTGATGAAGAGGAATTTAAAGTACAGGATTTGCCGCTACGGCAAGCGGATTCATTTTCAGGAGGGCTGCCCGCATTTTGCGGGAGGAGAACAGCTCCATCTATGTGCAGTGTGCCTGAGCGGAGAGGGGGTGTCAAACCCTCCAGAGTTTCCACCCGCTCAAGGCTGACACGCACAAATCGAATGTACCAACTTGTATAGGCCCAAGCGTGATAAAAACATCGTTTTTGCTTCGCATTGTTCGTTTTTGTTGGTGACACCTTCTTTGTGGGAACATATTTTCAGGAACCAGTGCATGGCGACTTGCCCAGCAGAATCGTCAGCAAAGGGTGTTGGTACTGTAAAGTTTCCGGCCTGTTTTGTTGCTCGCCGCATCATGGAAATGTTTGCTTCAAGGTCGCGCATCATGGAGGAAGTTCGGCGAACTGTCATGAACATCACGCCTGCAACTAAATGTTTTCGCGTTTGGTATTGCGGGTGATGCATGTTCTTTAAATCGCCAGTCCAAGGTCTGGCAACGCCAAAGGTGCGACTGGCCGGACATTGACGTGGTTGGGAAGGCTTGCTGGGCCAGAACGCGCAAATTTGTCACAATATTGTCAGAGACGTACAGTTGCCGGTTTTATGTGTGTATGTGTGAGGCTTCAAATGATTGATGAACTTTCCGTGGCCAGGCAAGGGGGTTGGTTTGGGGCAGCCCATTTCAAGTCAGATGTTCTTGGGAGGTCGGCTACTTCGTTGTTGGAGGTGGCACGCTCACATGTGAGCGCGTGATTTAGTTTGCTTGTTCGTTTGTGTGGCCGGTTGAATGGTTTATTCAATGATTGACTAATTGATTGATTGACTGCATGGCGCTACCCTGAGGCAATCCAGGAATTGAGGTTTCTTAGTTCCGATTCCCGCTTGTGGGAACCTCAGCATGCCTTTCGAGATGCGTGGAGCTGGTCAAATGCTATTGAACAGTTTTGAACTCACATTGCCCGCTTCTTGTAGCAGCACGAGCAAGGCCCGAACTTCGCAAATCGTGTCAACAAAGTTTGGAACTCAGCAATTGAGGCCACAAATGTTTAGAACGCATGCCGGTGTCGACGAACAACATTTTGTCATTATGTGTTTGAGCAAAAAAGGCTAGCGTTGCGCAACGCCACGCGTGGCCAGGTTTGCAACAAATTTGCGAGATTACTGCATCTGTGGAATTTCGATCGCGATGTGCCGAGGCGTTCTGGTCCGTTAGCAATGTAAATGTGTAGAGGACGAAAGTGGAAGACGTCGATGGGCAAAAAAAAACCATGAAAACCTCAGTAACATGGAAATGGAAAATGTTCTCTTGGAAAGGGCTGTTCTGATTGTTGGCACAACAGTGTAGTCCTCATAATGCACGGCTGCGTTGTTGCCAAACGCTGCCCAGAGAGAGAGAGAGAGATAAAGACCGTTGTCATCCATTTTCTAAATCCATGTTAGTGAGTCAAAGTGTATGTTTTGGATTGGACTTGGGGTTGTTTGGCAGTCTCGCTGGCTACCCCGGGCCAGGTTCCGCCAACAGCGCTGTTGGCACCGGATGTGTTTGTAGGTGCAGTGAAGGGAAGTCAAAGTCAGACTTCTTGCGCAAGTTGGAATTGCGTTTGATGCCACAACGTTGCGACTAGGCCTTGTGGCTGCCCAAACGTACTACCACCGCAAATGGATACAAATGGTTTACTTGTTTTTGCGATGGCACTCGTCCAACATGGCAACCTCAACTGCCGCACCGCATGCTGACAGCAGGCGACGATGTGGAGTCACCCAAAGAGGATCAGAAATTGGAGATCTTCGAGGTGAGTGAGGGTGTGCCATGTTGCCGGGGACAGTGTTCTAGCAATAAATTGTACCAAAGGCATGAAAGATAATTTGAAGTTATATGATGGTGCGCATCTTAAATGTTTCAAACGTGTTATTTGAAAAACAAAGGCGCATTCTTTCTTTTGAAGGCTTTGGCATCGGACCAGATGAACAATTTTTGTGGAGCCCACCCCCACCCCGTGCGGCAAACTTCACGAGGTCATGGATACTTATTATGACCAACCATGCGCCGCAGTAAGCACTTCTTCTCCCAACCATGATGCTGGAAGCGCTTGCGAGCATGAGCGTTTGCGTGGCCTAAAGTCCAAAGTCCTTCTGGAAGAAAGCGTAGGTGTAAGTGAGCCATGGACAAACTTTCACACCTAAGTATGGGGCTGGCACCGTGGCTTCAAACTTGGATGATGCAATGATGATACAACAATGACTGAAGAAACATAAATTACACATATACTGTATATTGCAGGGCGGAGACGCCTCCCTTCAAGTGGCGGAGGCAGGACACGGTTAGCTCATGTGACTCATGTTTGTTCCACGTAGCGCAATGAGCAATAGCCAAGTTCTTGGCCAGCGAGTGCCATTCGCACGCAGATGAAGAACATGTTTCTCCAGAAACACGGATTTGGACCCGCCCGGACAAAACAAATGGACTTCTCGCTCCCACACAGGTAGCTGGTGCTCGGATTGGTCCCCCGGCACACATGGAAGCTGCTGCCGCACAACCTTTGGAGGCTTCTTGATTTTTTGTCGACTCATGTAGTAGACGTGCAGGCACATGGTTGTGATTGTTTTAGATGCCTCAGCTGACGTGGTGCTGACAGAAGGTCCAAGAAGGTCCAGAACAACAAGGTTGACAGATGACAAAATGTTAGAATAATCATACATCCCGCAACCTTGAGAAACCTTGTTTGTTGCAGAGCCTTTGGGGAAGCTTTGGCAAACGTTGAGGCCCTGCGCCAGCCTCTACCTCCGTCAGAGGTGGGTGGCGTCGAAGTTCTGGCAGCTATATGCATTGCAGTGCGTGAGTCCTCGCTCACCGTTTGAAATTGGAGTCGTAGCAACGGGCGTTGTTGGTGGTTCCATAGGCCAGCCGGAGTACTCCACCTTCAGAGCTGCAAGGAAAGAAGTGCCAGCAGGAGCCGCGAAAGACTTGAGGGGAGATGTCTCTGAACCGAGACGAAGAGCAGGCTTCGCCCAAGACCTCGTTCCCCCAAGACCCAAACATATTCTGCCCGTTTCTAAAGCAGTGGAGGTCGGAGGCCAATGGTTGTGGCGTGAGTTTCTGTTTAAAACTATACCACCCATACCCTGAATATATTCACTCGATCATCACTGCAGGATGAACAGGACCGTTTCTACGAACTTTTCTTTGCGGCCGTGGACGCCCCCAGCTGGTGGTTCTGCACGGCCCACACGAACAGAATGTATTCCATGCAGTGGGCTGTAGTGCCCCCACATACAGCGCCAGAAATAGTTCTTGCTTGCTGGTTTTCAATTTTTGGGAGTCAGGGTGTGTTGCATGTCAGTGTGTTGAGTAGCTTGGACCTCCTCCGTATGTGCTCTTAAAAAGGCTAGTAGAATGCAGATTGCAGATGGATTGGTCCGACGATCATGTTCCCACCACAGGTCCTGCTGAACAGTTGTACTCTGCAGAAAGAGCCGGGCTCCCGTTGCGAGGTCCTGCCACTTCTGGGCGATGGAACCTCTATTAGCATAGAGCAGGCAGTGCCGGCAGAGCAATGATAGCCAATGGAACGAAGTTGTCGAAGGTTTTTTTGGAACGACTCGCATGACGTTCCAGGCTGCGTTTTTACATGTCGTTTGAGCAACGCGGTTTTGTAGATGGGAACTAGTTCGAAGGCCGTGCTCGGCTGCAAGTTCCTCCAGAAGATATTCAAATTATGCAGCCTCAAATTGTTTTCCCGGCATTCTGCCTTGCGTTGGTTAGGCCACAAGCCTTCTACAAAAGGGAGGCTGGCGGCCCGCTTCTTTTTGCCACGTCACCAACAGGCACTAGGAGGCGCAAAACCATTATCATGGATAGTCCGGGCGGGCCGGGCCACCGCGGGCCGGGCCACTGCGGGTCGGTCCGGGCGGTCCGGGCCGGTCCACTGCGGTCCTTCCATTTGTATAGGTCCTCCACCAAACCACACCTCAAATCCACCGCCCCGGCGTGGCGTAAGGAGACCACCTGACGCAGTGGGCAAAGGAAGAACCTATGCATCAAGATGTATCCACAAACACTTTATAGAGGATGGATCGGCTGGTTTTTAAGTCTGTGCGAATAAACCCTTTTCTAATATTGTCGGTCTACGGAGCTGTACTTGGGGTTTAGTTTTGATTAAACCCTTTTTGGTCGAGTAAGGGCCCTCACTTGATCACAAAGGGTTTACATCCTGATCCAAACCCCAAACCCAAGGGTATGAATATCAATCGACCCAAAAGGGTTTAATCAAAACTAAACCCCCATTCCAGCTCCGTAGACCGACAACAGTAGAAAGGGGTTTATTCGCACAGACTAAAAACACTTTGCCGATCCCTCCTCTAACATGTTTGTGGATACATCTTGATGCATAGATTCTTCCTTTGCCCACTGCGTCAGCTGGCCTCCTGACGGCTGTGCCGGGGAAGGGAGTTCGCACGGGCCGGGCCGGGCCGGGCCGGGCCTCGGGCCGGGCCGGGGTCAACGGTAGACCCGGCTATCCATGATTATATCAGTAGTACTTTGTTGATTGTGAGGTTTCTCCTTGCCCGCAAGGAAGCCGAAAAGTTATATAGTGCACTTTTTGGACTGATCTATAATTGTGTTTTAGGGTGGCTGGTCACTGCTCACCATGTTTATAGCTCCAAGACCAGCATTGTAAACCTTAGCAATCTTCGGGCTTGATGTTTCTTGCCAATCACTCTTTATGGGGGCCTCCTACCAATGAGCGCTGAATGTCGGGACGCCGGAAACCTTGGAATCCTTGGAATCGTTGAACCTGTGACGACAAACATGCCGCCCCTTCAGCATATGGCAGGCTTGTCCGAGCAACAGCAGCAAGAGGCCTTTGAATCCGTTGGTGCTGAACAGGCTGGGGGGGGCCGCCTTCTACCGTCCGGCTTCATGCTTGGGAAAAACGACGGGGCATGTGGGCCGTTTGGATGATCGATGCCGGCAGAAGAACCTCTTGTCTATGACAATTTGGACGACTTTGGAAGCACTGAAAAGGGTATTTGCTTACTTTGCTTGAAGTTCAACGAGATTTAATCTCACATCAAATACCCGAACATACCAGTAGACCAGAAAAACGCAATTAAGGACCATATAATTAGGTGTTTGACCTAAACACCTGCAGCTAATTGAACATCCGTCTGGGAGCCGCGGTCCTGCCGCGGCGGTCAGGACTTGGAAAGTGAAGAACTTCGAAGAGTCCTGGAGCGGATGGTGGGGGTCATCAGACGAAGTGAGGTATGGGCAGCCACTGGGTGAATGCCACAGGATCCCGCAAGGAATCGGCATAAAGCACTGATGGACTTTTTCTATGTTCGAACACAAATCGACTCATTTCGTATGATTCAGCACGCGGCCTGCATACATGTGTACATTTCGTATGTCCACATTCCATGTATGTGAATGTGAATTAGCGGAAAGATCTTCTTTCGCGCTCTCAACACTCTGCTCTATCAACGGCATGCGTGGTAAAAGGGATTCTCGCACAGTCCCGTACCTTGAGACATGCCCGGGCATGGTTGAGTCAACCCTCAAACTATGCCGTCGACGAGCATAGGGAGACTAGACGAGGACCGTTCCTGACATCGGCTTCGGGGCATTTCGGGGCATGTTCCTGCGGCTTGTGTTTCTTCCCTTCAGGGATCTGAAGTTGTTGGTTGTTCGGCTCTTGCCGTCATATCGGCACTAGCGGTACCCGTAGAGATTCGATGCTGGTTGACGAATCCTCATGTTTAGATCGCCGCTGGTTGCGGAGATTTGTATAGATTTGTAACAAGCCCAGTCGACAACATTTAGTTCCCACGAAAATCGAATAAGTATAATATACGTTAATATACTAAGACAGGGTTTGATGTGAACTACTGGTAAGCCTCAGTGCAATTTCAATGGTTCTGTAGGGCATTGAAGAGCGACAATGATCGACAACGGCTATTCAATGCTATATAGTAGTTGTGAGTTGGAACCTGCTGCAAAGTTAAAGGTCTTAATGATTCTTAATGATGAGAGCCCTTCTTTGGAGAACCTCCCACGTTGACTGCTTTGATAGCAGCCTCCAAACATAGTGCGCCACAGAGCAAAGCAGAACCTTTTCCATGGATTTGGTAACCACTTTCTCGCGACTCGACAATAAGTTGCTCAGGCGCGTGTGCAAGATGGTGACCAGGTTCAGTTCTGAGACACTATCGCCTCAGAGTGCTTCTATTGTTTGAAGGGTTGCCGTATGTAGAAAAGTGCTGGCCTGAAAGGCTTGCCCGATTGTGTTGTGTCCTTTCCTGCCTAGCTTGCAATTGGGAATGCTTACGTGGATTGCTGCAAGCCTTTGGTCCAATTGATCATTCACGACTTTAGTGACAATTGACAATGTGGCACGTGAACCCTTTCGGGGCACAAATGCATAAAGGCAAGAGACTAGACTTCTCGGCATGCCACTGAGTCAAAGGCTTCGACCTGCGATTTCCCTAACAATCGTAACAATGCTGAACCGTGACAATCCATCCTTTATTCACCATTGCACTTGCAGATTGCTAATTCTCAGGTCAACAGAAAGATATTAGTCATTGATAGTTGCCTTTGGGAGTGCCCCTTTGGGCACCAAAGGGCAAGTAGAAATCCTGAGCGATTCTGGACCTTCTTTTGACAGCAGCAACTGGTAAGCAATCGCCCACTGAATGTGGTTTAAAGTTTAAAGGCTTTATGAGCGTATAGAATCTATCGATAGATCTCTTGGGGTCCTGACCATTCATCACTTGCAGATACTTGGAGTAGAGGCCATCATCTATACTCCAGTAGTGTCATTTACTGGAAGGCCATCTCCTGTAGCATCATTTACTCTGCAGTGCTATGTTTACGGGCCATCATCCACTCGGATTGCAGGGCCGGACCCAGCTCGCCGGCTCGCAGGCCAGTGGCGCTGGTGCCCCACGTCGGATCCCCTGGCCGAAGCCTCGGTTCTGGAGGTGATGAGGTTCGAGAGTCCATGCGGGTCCTACTTGTGCAGTGACTGCTTGGGCTTGGCTTGGCGATTGGGTTTAGGGTTTCATGGCCAGTTGCTGCCGAATTTTTTTGGCAAGATGGTGCAGAATGATGACCCTTTCGGCTTCAGATGAACAAAGACACCCGTTCACGCCAATGTTGCCAAGTGCGCCTGACAATTGAGCAACTCCACTTCAAAGATTCCAATGAAATCAATAAGATTTCATCATAATTACTGTGGCTCTTCGCAGCTTACATAGCGGACCGTTACCACCCAGTTTGATCCAGGAGTCCGGATCCTGGGCCCCTGACATCCCCTGACCAGTTCTCCTCCCCTGAGCCTGACATGCCCTGGCATCGGCAGGATTCACGGGCTGCTTTGGGACGGCCGGCGGCTGCGGATTGGAGAAGGTTTCTATGCACCGTGAGGCATGAGGGACCTTGCTGGCTGGCTGTTTGTAGGGTTTAACTTAATGGAGGAGAACCGCTTTGTTGACATGTGATGAATGCTTCTTGGATTTGCATGCTTTGACTTGCAACCGAAAGGCGTCGAAAAGCTAGAGTGCGAAGCACATATAATTACAAGGAACTGCAGTTCTCCATGTCAGGATGCCTCTTTCTCCAATTCAGAACAGTATCGATGCCGTGGTCTTACCCAGCGGATAGAGAAAAGATGCCGGAGCTGTGAGCTGGGGTTGGAGAGCCAACAATCGGCTCCTGTTTGAGCATCAGATAGCTCAGAATCAGTCGCTGTTCATGGTAAGAGGACATGCCAATGACCAAGACGACGGCTGGCGAGCAGGATTCGGATATATATATATATAATATATTATGCACCCCCCGATGATTTGAAGCTACGCGAAGGGTATCTCAAAAGCCGAAGCCGAGGTTTTGAACTGCCCACCGGGACAACTCGATAGACAACCCTTTAGATATGCTTCGCAGTGTCATGAATTCTCAAAAGTTTTAAGGGAAAGCCGGGCAAACATGACAAACCTAGCCCGATTTGAGCACATTACAGGCCCCCCAAAAGCATTTTGGGCTGGATGACCATGCATTTCCTTTCTGGGCGGCTCAGACGACCCAATTCCGTGCAGGAGGCCAAAGAGCGGCAAACGGCACTAAAACCACCCTGCTTGTCCAGCAGGAAAGACAAGCAGAACTCTGACAGCAGGAAACAACAGTGGCTAAGTCAATGTGGATGTGGCCAAGCACGAAACGCAGTGCCATGAGGCCAACCAACCAAGGGTGGCCAGACAATTTCCACTGAATTCTAGCTGTATATATAATATTATATAATACCAATTATGTAATATTACTTTTTCTATTTGTCTATATATATATGAATCTATTTATTTATCTATCTATCTGTCTATCTCAGTTCATACACCTAACTATACAATAGTAGTGTCTCCGCCTTTTGTCTCCTTGGCTGGCTCAAGACAACGGCCTTTGTGGGAGCCAGTGCGAGGACCCGATACCGGTTACCCATCGCATTTCTGACCTGCATAGGGTAGGATGGAATTATCATGTTCATTGTTCGCATTTTCTGACTGAGTTTGAATCAGCAGGTCATGCAACTTTCAATGTGGTGCGCTTTCGATGGTGCTTATTTATGTGCCGTTGCAATATCAGCAAATCATTCTGAGCAAGGCCTTTGGGCCAAGATGCCGGGACGAAGTCTTGTTTTTGCGCAGGAGCTTGGCGGTGGATCTGTGCGCATGGTGGACGAGCTTCACAGTTCTGAGGACAAAGCATCAGTTCTCATAATCGCCGCCATCACTCCTCATCAGCGGAGCGGCATCAGTGTCATGATCCCAAAAGCATCCAATAGCCAAGAGTCGCAGTCCCCCTTCAAGTGTTGCTATAGGTATTCGGGGGGCCTCTCGGTTTTGCTCGAAGAGGGCGAAGCTCGCAAGGACAGTGCCTGGGTGCAAGATGATGCAGGGGTCTGAGAGAGGGACCCAACAAGGTGCTCAATAGGTGAGTGGGCTGTGTTTCCTTTCAAATTTTGTGTTGAGTGCCCCGTATTCTATCGGCTCCTGGCACTTCTTTCTATCTCGCCCTTCATCCTGGCCGATTGCAAGCCTCAAACCTGATCGAGGTGGAGCGAATTTGCACAGAGACACTGGATTTGCACCTGAAAGAGCACCAGTTCAACGAAGTGTGAGCCACAGACGACTGCGATGCCGTTGGAATTCCATTGGCGGCCCGTCCGTTTGGTTGATCCACGATGCCCAATGAATGTTGTTTCGTTCTCGGGCCCCTGTGACCTCAAGAAATCGACCTGTAGAGTGACCTGTAGTATTTGGAAGATTCCAACGCACACATTTGGCAAGGACGTCACAGGTGAAAGAAGGCTATGCCATTCACATGGCTCCATCAGAGGGACTAGATGCCGCTAGAATCAATACCATGGACCATAGATATGTTTGTGGCCGGTAGAGTAGTATGAAAAAATACAACCTACAACATGTTTTTTTCCCCTTTGTTACTAGTAATAGTATATAGCTTCTTGCTCCCCAGTCCTTTTGCCCAAGGACTTGGTGCCTCATTGGATCAATGAGATTTGCCCTTTGGCGAAGAAGGGCGAGGGGGAGGGGGTGGGGCAGACTTGCATCGATTTGCCGGGCAATCATAGCGGACCTCCCAAATAACAGACAGAAAACGAATAAACAACGTGTCAGGGTTGTTTCGACTTCGCAGGGGGTCAACCGTTGGAGTATGCTGCCTTTGCCCAACTTCGCCGGCGATGTGCCCGAAAAAGAGTGGACCCCCGACTGAGTCGAGGGCGTTGTCCTGCGGCAGTGACCCGAGCGGAGCCCAGGGTCCAGTGCTTCGGTTTTTGCTCCAACTCCTGGGACCTAGGAGTTGAGGAGTTGGAAGCGTTTTTTGGTTGATTATTTTTGGAATCCCTTTGGGCCCAGGGCATGGGGATGGGAGGGGTGAAAGTGCAAGGTGAAGGCATTATGGCACGACTGCCTGGCCGTCCTGTTTCCAAGCGCAGACGCGATTGCCCCCCTGGGTTCGATCATGTTCCTTAAACAGAGGGTGGTCAGATTGTGCTAGAGTCCGTGGAGGATGGATATTTCGCCACAACCGCAATAGCAGGCTGGACTGATCTTGAAGGGGATTGAAAGGATTGTAGTGTGCCTCACTATTGTTGTTTCCATCGATGGCCAAGATTGTTTTCTTCAAGTTGTTTCTTCCTCGTAGATATGATATGATATGATCACCATAGAACAGATCACGTCAATGACTGCAAGTCCATGTGTGCGTTGTGAGGTTTGAGCTTGGTCCTTCGTCGCACATCGCGGTCATGTTTCACCAGTTACCCTTGACCGAGAGTCGGGTGGCCTTATTGATGATTTTGGATTGATACCTTGCAGTATCTCGCGGTTTGGTTTTTGGCAGTCGGAACCCCCCTTAAACTCTTAGTCTTGGTATTGGTCCTTCTTGCGATGGGGGGTGGGTTTAGATGGATTTGGGTGGCACACGTCACAACGGAGGAAGCAAACACACGAAAGCATACAAAGGCTTTACCTACCCGCAATTTGCACGAGTCACTAGTCACAGCAGGTTATAGCACCTTCATACTGCATCACTTGCAGTACATATAGCGGCCACCAGCTACCACTGTAGACTGTTTGGTTCGGGTTGTGCTTTGTCAGCGCTTAGCCTAGATTCTTGCCAGGAATGAGCAAAAGAAGCCCTTCAAGTACGTAGTATCTTGTGACTTGGCTGCCCGAGCTAGCTGCGTTGCCTTCGGGTAAAACCATGATGCGCGACTTCAACATCGGAAGCACTTGTGTGTTGAACAGACCTCGCTCCACTTTGGATCCTTTCCTGTGAGATCGCGCCAAGGTATCATCATGCAGAGAAACGGCCGGCGACCAAGCCTTCGTGGTCATTCACCCCAACGGTTTGCGCAGCGCCCTACCTGCGGTCTCTCAGAACCCAGCTAGACATTAAACATTGGCAAAGAGCAGCCATTCTGAAGTGAAGCTGCGTTGCAATAATGTTGCAATTGTTTGCGGCCCCCGCCCACACACGTCAATTGATTGACATGCCTAAGCCGGGTTGCGATGCAGCGCTTGGCGCTGACCCCGTGACGGGCTGCATACGTCCACCAGGCGCCGGGCTGCATACGTCCACCTCCTGCTATTGGGACGCTGGAAACGACGGCGCCGGGACGGCCCAGCGACGGGTGACCGACGGGCCCACGAAGCGAAGCAACGATCACATCGAACATGCTAACCGAGGTGGTGCAGGACCGCAGGGATCATGTGGGTCGAGGAGACCACAGGAGATCAAGATCGATCAAAGTTGGTTGTAGTTGTGTGGTATAGATATCATGGGAATCACCGTTGGTTTCCAGTCGGGCGCCGGCCAGCAGTAGTTTTTGCATGTTTTAGCAGATCAGGTAAGAGAGCACGGCAAAGGACCATGCGTTGATATTCTGAGAGCTGAGGTCTACACCTATGTTTGGCCAAGAGAAAAGCATCAGCCTCAGAGGATTTTAGTCCTACTAAGAGGAAAGCATCAGCCGCAGTTGCCAGCTTTTGCTCCATTGCGTGTTCTGTTCCTTGTTTATTTGTCTTTATATAGTAGTCTTTACTTATATACTCCTTTCTTTGGCAGTCACCTCTTCAGACTCTTCAGCGTCAGAGGTTTCTTAGTTAGTGTTTCGTCAGACGGGTCCCGGGAGAGGTCCAAAGACGTGGTGAATAAGTCGATGTATTGCCCCTTGCTTGCACATCAGCAGTCCGCACCCGGGAGAGGGAGACAGAGGCTTTTTGAGACCTCATGGATGGCTCCGCGCTTAAACTTATTGGGATGCAATGTATGAAAACCGTTTCCATGTGTTGGGGAATTCCTTCAGGGCATAGGATCCATGGGGTTGTTCAACACTATGGGCGAACATGAGATTCACATAGCTTCAGTTCGGATTCAGAGCTCATGGGATGTTTGTGCTTCATTCCATGGAGATTTGTTTGAGGTTTGTTTGGCCATCAGGAATTTTTGGGACAGAAGCAAGAGTCGCAGATGAACGGCCCAGGTATTGTCACAGTCTTTGGCCTGGAGTTCTGAGCACAGTCTTTGGCCTGGAGTGTGAGCTCTTTAGGTTAGGAGAATTCAAGGCCTCCTCGGCCCGTCTCACCTCCAGAAGGCATGCCTTCAGTCCGCAGCCCTGAGGCTTCTGTGAGTTCGAACTCTGTTGGGTCATCAGTGATCGGTCACCAGGATTCCCATCGTGCATCGATCTTGCTCTGCTAGATGGTGCCAAGGCATCGGATAGGCTCGTGGCTTCAGATGTTGGGTTTTGTGCCATGGGCTTCGTTGCAAGTCATGCCTCGTCTCACAATGTCAGCTCTTGTTGGCTCACACGCGCTCAAAAGACGGGCGACGCGTGAAATAATCTGGGAGCATGTCCCACTCACCGGCGTTCCTACTGCAATTCCGGCTGCCAGGACTTTGCACGTAAAGGGTTCAAATGGCTGACAGAGAGTTTCACTGCATTCTACCACTATGGCAATGACAGTTGAACAATGTTGAACATTCCCAAAAGATCCTTTAGTTTGGTTCCAATTTATGAGGTGTAGGGCAGGCTCCTGTAACGCCATCAGAGCCACCACGGCGCGAAAAATGACGGTTGCGCATGGGGCAAAGCAGGGCCCTACGAAGGTGTTTGGATTATTTTGGATGCATTTATTCCGCGATGTCTACAAATGCACCTAGACATCACATTACATGACATCACATCTTTTTGCTGGCTGAGGGTAAGGCACTGTAGTGTATATTCATTCAGACTGACTTCCTCAAAGTGTGATTCCTCTAGCTGACCAGCACGCCGGCTTGCAGCCTTGTACGATGTATTGCATGTGTTTTACGGGCATCGAATCAAGGACATTAAGTCCCAGCACTGCGGGAGGACGTTTGGCTTGGCCCGGAGTACGAAAGGATCACAGGGCGGCACTTGCAGCCCCCAAGACAACTAAATAAAGTAACGGCTGTTCTATTGTCGGAGGGCCACTTCTGCAGTTGTTTGCATTGTTTGCTCTATTCAACATGACAAATGACAAATGCATCAAATAAACAAAGAAACTGTCACAGCAGACTCAGACAGTTCTTATCAGTTCTTGACAGATTTTCAGAACATAGCATGAGTTCTATTGCGGAGCGGCATATCACAGAACCATGACTGGATCAGATCCTATCAATAAGCCATAGGCTGCCAGGGGCGGCCCCCCCTGCCGGCGCCCCATGGTTGATCCCGGGACCGCTGTGGAGGGCCAAGAGGCCAGGCGAAGGAAGAGCCAATCATTTTTTCAAGCTTGACTGACTAAGAATGAGGACATGGGTCACATGAGTGCCCGGGAACACCTCAGAGAAACTAAAGAAACAAAGTGCCAAAGGTTTGGAAGATGGTTTCAGATTCCCGCCAAGCGACGTTTAACTACGACCGGTCGTAGGGGGAACCACATCCGGAGAGTCGAAAAGGGTCGCCTTCCCACATACGCTTCTTGCTACTATATTGTTAGTAGCTTCTTGCTATACGCTGCGGCCGGCGGCTGGGATCCGGGGCGATCGTCGAGGCCACGAGACCGGAGAATCAGAGGTCCATGGAGGCGGATCGACGTCCGGGGACGCCCGTCGCGTGTGCACACTGCGCACACACCGTGAGGATTTGTCACGCCCCCACCCTAGCTTGTGCCACCCACCTGGTCAGAAGCTTCAGGTGGTGGTCTTGAGTCATCTTGAGTCTGATAATTCGCAAGATTTCAATTTCAGGTCAATGCAGGTTGTATATCTTTGCGTTGTTTGACGTCAGATAGTGATCAACCCTGCCCCAAAGGCACTTGCAGATTTTGTTTGGGTCTTGCTCACAGCTGCCAAGCACTTTGCAGCAATCGCCCTAAGACTTAGAGCTTCCTCCACTTCGGAAAACGCATGTTGTTCGTGATCCCCATGGCTGTACAGGGTTTTTGCGAACACCTGCGTTGTCCTGTGATGAAGTCCTGCTTCTGCCAGCGCTGCTAGGAGTTTTGGACGCTCATTACCGATGATGCTGATATATACTATATACGTGACGACGACGACGACGATGATATTTGATGATATTTGCAATTGTGGTGATGGCGGTGACGACAGTGCTGACCCGTTTCCTCTTCTGGCAGGAGCAATTGGAGGCCCTAAATCAGAAGCTCCAACACTTGGCCGAGCAGGCGGGGGGTGTCGACGGCGACCATCCTATTTCAGGTGGTGCAGTGCAGTAGGGTATCAGATATCATACATGTTCATGAGCGTCCCATTGGCTTCAGTGTTTCGGCAGTTGTTGCGAATTAGGCTGGCTTCGTGTAATGGATCCAAGTGGCGAAGATGGGTGGATATGATGGGAGGCTGACCCAGGCTGACTTATATAACTTACTGTATATACTTTTTGCTTGGCTGAAGCTTCCCAAGTTTTTCATGTACAGTATGTTCATGTTTGGCATGAATCTCAACAGGCAAAGTTAGTTCGTTGATCATTGGGACGTGTAGACTCTCAACCAGTGTTGGGCAGAAGTATGCGAGAGACACAGGGTGGGGAAATCCAAGCGTGACCTGGTACAAAAGGGGCAGCAAGTTCGACAGATCACACTTACTACTGGGTGCTCGGGTTAACTTGTCTCGAATGGCATGAACTTGTGCCAGATGAGGTGTGCCCTTGGGGGAAAGCTTGATTTGGCTATCTTTTTCCCGAATGCGTAGCGAAGGGTTCCCGTTTATAGTTGGGGGTGTGGGGGTTGGACATGTGTTTGCATGGCTTGCGTCGTGCCGTCGTCTCTCGTCGTCTGTCGTCGTCTCTCGTCGTCTGTCGTCGTCTGTCGTCGTCTCTCGTCGTCTGTCGTCGTCGTGTCGTCGTCGTCGCGTCTCAAATTTGCTGCCATTGGGGGAAGCTTTTGCAGGTGACTTTTCATGGATGTGTCACGTGTCAGTTTGCGCCGCTATTCCATTGTGATTTGCATGACGCCAACATGTCGCGCATGCATTTCGCTGCACAGGCGCAGCGTTTTGTGAGATCCGCAGATTGCTGCGCAGTTCCATTGGGATTAGCGCTTGGAGAGTGGGTGTTGGATGTGGCCGTGCCATTGGGATTTGCGTTTCAGGGTGTGGCATCGAAGCTCGGTTTTCGTGACAAGACTCAGCTGAAATGGCGATTTTGGTGGATGGGAGTGTGCTCAGAACGGGTCGAAATCATTCCAAACGTGTGGTGTGGTGCAAATTTTGTTGAAGCTCACATGAGATGATATATTGTCACTTTTCGTGGCAGGCGCAGGACTTTGTGCGGGTTTTGAGGCGTGGCAGTGCGATTCTCGTGGCAGGCGCAGGGAATCGTGAGGTTGCGAGGTGTGACGGAGGTTACATTTCGTGGCAGGCGCAGGACTTTGTGCGCGTTAGACGTGTGGACGCGGAAAGATTCGTGGCAGGTGCAGGGAATCGTGAGGTTGTGCGTTGTGGTCGAGGTGAATGTCGCTGTCACATTGGGATTGGCGTGTGAGCGGATGTTGTTTGGAGGGGCTGGAATCGCGAAACTGCTTGGCAGGGCTGCGTGATGTGTGTGCTCCGATGGGTGTTTCCGCTTGACTTTTGGAGGAAGTCTCGTACGAAACGCTCGTTTTGCAGACTTTGACGTGTGAGTTTTTGAGGAAAGTCTTGTACGAAACGCTCGTTTTGAGACTTCACGCGCAACCCTCTGCGGAGATCGCGCGTGTCGAGTGTGCGAAATGCAGGCGAGAGTGCGATTTGTCCCATGTGCGCGCAACCCTCTGCGGAGATCGTGCGTGTCGAGCGCGCGAAATGCAGGCGAGAGTGCGATTTGTCGCACGCGCGGGCAATCCTTGCGGAGATCGTGCGTGTCGAGTGCGCGAAATGCAGGCGAGAGTGCGATTTGTCCGGTGCCTGCGCAGCCCTCTGCGGAGACCGCCTGTGCCGAGCGCGCGAAACGCAGGCGAGAGCGCGATTTGCCCGCACGCCCTCTGCGAAGATCGTGCGTGTCAGGCGCGCGGAGTGCAGGCGGGCGCTGGCGGCTTTGTAGTACAACTTTAGTCCGGGTCTGCGGAGTATCTGGGGAGCTGGAAGATGAGAACTGGTGACTTTGTAGTACAACTTTAGTACTCGGAGCAATCTGTGGCTGTGGAGCTGGAAGCTGAGAACTGGCGACCTTGTAGTACAACTTTAGTACGCGGAGTATCTGGGGAGCTGGAAGAGTGTCCCGCAACGGTGTCGCTCAAGAGTGTCTCACAAGAGTGTCCCTTAAGAGTGTCCGACAAGAGTATCCCACAAGAGTGTCCTACAAGAGTGTCCCACAAGCGTGTCCCACAAGAGTGTCCTACAAGAGTTTCCTACAAGAGTGTCCCACAAGAGTGTCCTGCAAGTGACCCACCCACAAGAGTGCCCCTTAAGAGTGTCCTACAGGAGTCTCCCACAAGAGTGTCCTACGAGAGTGTCCCATAAGAGTGTCCTACAAGAGTGTCCCACAAGAGTGTCCCACAAGAGTGTCCTATAAGATCTTCTATGATAACAGGTAGGCTCATCAGAGGTGGGCTCATGAAGG